ACCCCGACCTTCCTTGTCGGTTTCTGTAGCACCCATTTTCGAAGACCATTTGGAGACTCCATGACTTCTCAAGAGAACTGCCGGCCTTAGATTGGAAAATACATTTCTAATGCCTCGTCCACAGATGCTGACTATGAACAAGGACTGAGAATGTTTATAAATAAAACAAACAAATCAAGAGTGATTTTCCAGTGTTACCCTGCAGCAAAAAGCTTGAGAATTGAGAGGCCTGCCCTCATCTGTCCCTGCTGCTGCTGCTGGCCTTGAGCCCCACAAGATACTTCTTGTCATCAGAGCAATGACTTCAGTTTTTCCATCCCAACTGTGGTGAGAATGAGTAAGAAAAGCAGAACCTACCTCTGGAAGCAAGACCGAAGCTCCGCACTCATAGAAGAGAGATCCGTTGCTAGGCAGTATTTCACTCTCTAGATTTCGAAGACTTCCTACATTTGTCAGGACAGTTCTGAATCATCCGGTGGAGACCACAGGACAGAATGCTGATACTGGACGACTTTCCTCTGCACAGCCAAGTTCCCTGCTTCTAAATGAACTGTCCCCACTGCCGTCTGAGACACTGTAATCCAAATCTCTCTATTTCACCACCTTCTTTCCTAATCATTTTACCGCATCATCATTTTTTAGGGGAGAAAAGATGAGGATTTTTTTAAAGCCTCACCCCAAAATGAAGTCTCACTGAAGCACTGACCTGTTACTAGGTTAAAAAAACAAACAAACAACATAGTTTTTAGGAATCTGCTTAATAGAAACGTCAGAGAAACTTAAAAACCTTTTTTTTTTTGAGACAAGGTTTTGCTGCAAAGCCTAGACTGGCCTAATATTGGCCATCCTCCTGCCTCAGCCTCCCTCATACTAGGATTACAGGTATGCTCAACCATACTTGGCCTTCCAAGGGTAACTCTATTTGGCAAACAAAAGCCGAGTTAGCAATGGAATTGTGAGCCAATCCTGGTGAAAGAGACTCTGGGTTGAACCTTTGAGTGGCTCCCTTGGCTCTCAGGACAGGAAATGGACTTTCCTGTGGAGATGCCAGCAAAGAGCTGCTTTGTGGTACAACCACTTATGGATATTCAGAGACAAAAAATGTTGATAACCACAGGCCACGGTGCTGGGGAATTGCTGGACACATTGCAAAGCAAAACCACCAGCAGCTGTTTGAAGCTTGTTTCCTCTTATGAATATTGCATTAATAAAGCCAGTACCAAGTAACACAGCAGATGAAAACCCCAGCCTTCTTAGGCTGGTTTCATTGGGATGGCTGCAACACTGACTGGGGAATGATGCTTTGTCAAAGTCAGTGGGTATTCTGGCTTAGGTGTTCTGGGGTTATGTGGAAGGAGTTGGAAGTCTGGTGCTGCTGGGAACATTTCCTTAGTCCATAACATAAAGGAACTGGGAAAAACCTAGAAGAGCAGGGGATCATGATCAACCATGGGGTGAATGTGTACATTTGTGAGGGGCTACCAAAGTTGATGCAAGACTAATGAGAAATGAAGAAAATCTCACAAGGCCCCATCCTAGATAAAGAACTGCAGACACCTAATGGTTGCTGAGAGACAGTGAGTTAGCCTTTCCCAGGGATGAGGCCTCTCTAATTGGTTACCCAAATACAAAGTAATCAGCCCTGAAACCATGTGCACACAAACAAAAATGGACACAGCAGGTTGCATTTATGTATCTGTGTGTGTGTGTGTGTGTGTGTGTGTGTGTGTGTGTGTGTGTGTGTAATAATAATAATCAAAGCAAAAGATGCTCTCATTTTGAAAGTGATGGGGGGCGGGGTAGGACTTGAGTGGAGTTGGATGGAAAAACAAAGGCTGATGTAGGATAAAACCCCTTCACAGCTAGGGCGCTGGCTCCTCTGGCTGCACTCAGCATTGTGAGTTTGCCACACAAGGCCATAGTCTAATAGGTAAATTTTGAATAAACATCAACTCCACATCACCACCATCACCATCGCCATCATCCTCATCATTATCACAGGGTATCGTGTATCCCATACTGGCCTCAGATTCACAGTGTGGCTGATTATAAGCTTGAACTCAGGATCCTCTGCCTTTACTTCTTGAGGGATTGCAGGCATACAGAGACTATCACACATGGGACTTGTGCGGTGCTGGAGAGTGAACCCAAGGCCTTGTACATGCTGATAGAGTACCATAGTATATGGACAAAGGAAGTTGAGATCTAATGGCTGCATTTATGCCTTTCCTAATCAGCACTGTAATGGAGGAATGTGGACTAAAAAATATAAGGGCTGGGGGTCTGAAGTCAGTGGGCTTGATTTCAATCAGACCTTCTTATAACTCTGCCCTGGACAGGTCACCTAAAGCACCAGCAGTAGCTCAGCAACAGCCTCGGCCCAACTCTACATCGATGTTCTCTCGTAACTCCATCCTATGCAGTCCTATTCCCAATGCCTCTGTCCCTGCATCTAAAATACACACCAAAATAGACGTGCCTTGAAGGTCTGGGTTTCCCAACAGTCCCAAGCTCCTCTTCTCGTGCTCTTATGCACTCAAACACACCCAGACTCACACTCAGACAGACTCTCACTGATTTTCCATTTTGTTCTTTTTCCTCTTGATCTCGAGAACATTCTTCCTCCTCTCTTCGCGTTGTTGTCAGGGTTGGAGACAGACTAGACTAGCACAGTTTCTCCAAGCTTGCACCAAATGCTTCACAGTGATACAAGGACAAGCCACGCACCATGGTATACACCTGTTGTTCTAACACTCAGGAGGCTGAGGCAGGAGGATCATTTGGGCATAAGACATCCAAGACCATTCAATGAGATCCTGACACACATACCTGAAGAATTTAGAAACGTGCAGAAAGAAGGGAGTTATGTGGTAGGAGTGGGGGTTAGGGACATGGAATGGGAGCCAATGAAAATCAGAGAATTCTAGTTTCCCACTACTGGGAGGTTGATGGTGAACAAGGAGGACTTCCAGACCATACCAGGGTGAGAGTCCTGTGGGGACAAATGGCTTTGGGTGTCCTGGCTTTGGAGAAGCAAGAAAAAGGCATGAATCGCCATTTGTTTTTCTCAAATTGGTTCCTCGGGAGTACGACTTGTGTTTTTGTACAGGCTCTCCCCATAAGCCAACGCTAGCTCCAAGTGAAATCAAGAGTGCTTTCTTTGGGAAGGTGCTAACCCACTTGTTGAACACAGATGCCTTCCTGGCTTCTATATGGTTAATTTTATGCCAACTTGGCCAAGCTGTGGAGTTCCAAGATACCTGGGTGGATTATTCTGGATGGTTCTGATGAGAATTACAACAGTGGACTCTTCATAAGCAGATTGTCCTACATAGTGTGTGGAACCCTGACTAGAAAAGGGTAGACTTTCTGATCAAGAGGGAACACTCAGCAAACTCGGAGTCCACCCACAGCGTTACAGTTCCTGGCAGAATACTTTTGGACTTATTAACTGTAAGTCTTTTCTTGAGCAGGACTCATCTACTAGAATGTAGAGTTCCCAACAATCACACAAGCCAATTATAAGGAATGTTTAGCTACCAACATCACACACACACACACACACACACACACACACACACATGCAAACACACACACACACACACACACACACACACACACACACACACACACACACACACAGAGAGAGAGAGAGAGAGAGAGAGAGAGAGAGAGAGAGAGAGAGATTTTTCTGTCATCCCTCACTGATACAGCATCTTTATACCTTATATCCTTATGAGTTTGAGATACAGCCGTTGTATTTGCTTTCTCTAATTAGCACTGTAAAGGAGGGTTGTGGGACAAAGGGCCAGGAGCTCAGGGTCAGAGGTTAGTTTTGCTCTGTTCTGGAACCCCCAAACCCCAGAAACAATTGCTGAGATGATTACAGCATCGACAGTGGTGTAGCAACTTTCTACTGCTGCTATAGCAAGCTGCCGCTTACCCTGTGCTTGAAATAACAAGTTCTTTTCCATGTGTGGATAGAATTCAAGTAGTCAACACCCCTGTTGAGCCTGGTGTGATGGTTAATACTGACAGTTAACTTCACAGGACTTAGAATCACGTAAGAGACAAGCCTCTGGGAAGACCTGTGAGGGACTGTCTACTCTAAGCTGAGGTGGAAGACCCAAGATACATGTGGGCAGCACCACTCCATGGGCTGGAGTCCCACACTACATAAAAAGCAAAGGCCAGCTGAGCACCAGCGGTCATCTCACGCTCTGACTTCTGACTCCTCATGCAATGTGGCCAGCTGCCGCCTGCTCTTAACAGCCATGCCTTCGCCGACATGATGGACTGTAGCCTCTGGAACTATAAACCCAAACAACCCCCTCCTCTCTTAAGTTGCTGCTGCTTCATCTTTTTCTTTTTCTTTCTTTGTAGACCAGGCTGGCCCTGAACTCACAGAGATCCACCTGCTGGGATTAACGGTGTGCACCACCACCAACAGGCTCAGGCCTGGCTTCAAAACTGCTTCAGGTGTTTTATCACAGCAAGGCAGATAACTAATATAACTAGTGTAATGGTACATGCTTATGATCTTAGCACTAGGGAAACTGAGGCAGGAGGCCAGTCTGCGTAGACAGTGAGTTTGAGGCCAGCCATCGTTCATATTCTAGATAGTGTCATTTTAATGTCAAGCCTAGAATTGCTTTGTGTCCTCAACAGGCTCAAAATAGTTTAAAGGATTAGTAACTCTTAGTGCTATTATCTTGTAACATTAAAGAAACTTTCTTTTTGATGTATTTTAGATACTCGGGGCGTAGGTAAGCATTGCTTGGTCTATTCTTAGCATAAAACTTGGTTGCAACTCAGTTCTACTGCTCAGCTCAACAATTGTGCTTTGAAAAAAATCTATAAATTCATCCTGCCAGAAAACCGAGTCTAATTGGACAGCTAAAGGACTCAGTTCCGGCTTGCTTGCTCTTATTGTAATGGCAGAACCCTGGGGAACTCACCCACTCTCAAGTACAAGAACTTCAAATTCTTAACACTTGGTCTAGAGTTCAAATATCATTTATTGTCTTCATTCCAAGAACATTTTACTGCACATATTTTCCTCCTCCTCTTCCTCCTCCTCTTCCCTCCTTCTCTTCACCCCACTCTGGGAATCTCATTATTTATCCACATAGTTGGGATTATATTTGATTCAGTCAATCCAGTAACCCCTTGTTGAGATAGCTCAGAAATGTTTCCAGCTTTGCCAGAGATCTTTGGTTCTTTTACTTCGTTGTCCATTTCTGTCTTCTGCTATTCTTCTTTACAAACCTTGATTTCCCTCCTACGGGAAACTTTTTTTATTCCTTTTCAGCATCAAGTAAATTGCCAGGATGGCGAAAGAGGCCAACAATGTCAGTGCCCCTGTCACTGTGTAAGTAAGCCCCAAGAAAAGGCCACCTCCTCCAATCCATGTCAGGGTGGAAAGAACAACAGATTTTTCTCCCTGGAACACAGTAACTGGAAAATCTAGAAGATGTGTTAAGGATTCACTATTTTTCATCGGTACCATGGCATATACAAATACACTACATTAAATTATATAAAATTGACCTTTTTCGTAGACATGAAACAGTTATTCATGTTTCAACACAGTCAACTAGTACTCTATTTTGCTAGAACAAAATTAGTCAATACAAGGGTCCCCTCCACATAGCTATAGTGTACAAAGGAGATGCTGAAGTATATTGATCAGAATGATTTGCCAGCAGCTAGATAAGGAGCAGATATCTAACTGCCTTTGATGAATCTAAGGTAGCACAAAGAATATAAATAGTGTTCACAGCAAGCCAAAATTTTTCTTCGTGAATCAGAAGACTCTGGAGAGGCTAAGTTCCTTAACAGGCCAAAGCACGAATCCTCCCCACAGATAAGATTCTTTAAGAAGAATGAGAATAATAAATAAAGCAGAATGAACAGTGAAACGTCTTTGGTGAGAACGCTAAGGGTGGCGGGTTTGTTAGGGTTCTGCAAAGGCAGTGTCCCTGTTACTGGTGAGAAAGTGTTTGAAGTGGGTTTGCTATGCTGCATTTGAATGATGTCATCTTCATGATGCATGCGGCCTGAGGGTTTTCAACATCTGGTGCCTTTTGTAAATGAAACTAATAAACAAACAAAGCCTTCTCATAGCAACACAGAGGACAGAGGCATTTCCCAGCAAAGCTCTTAAAAGGCTTCCAATCTCTTGGCAACATGCTATTTAAAGACACAAGCAAACATGTTAGGGACACGTTCTCTCTTTCTTTTTTTAATCCCGGAATTCTTCATTGTCACCTGGTCCTTGGGTGCTGCCTTACCTCATCTTCCTGCCTGTGTTCTCTCCTGGTTCATTTGAAAGGGAGTGTCCTATCCTCACCTAGAGGGCATCATTTTCCCCTTTAGTGGTAGGCACGGCTACAGTCTAGGCTTCAGCCAGGCCACACAGGGGTAGTGCGAGCAAGAGGGCCCATGCTCAGGGTTGAATTTGTGCATGGACCATCGAGAGATCAGCATTCGAGACTGGCTGTTAGCAGTCACAGAGGAGAGCATGTCTGGAGAGGAAAAACTGTCTCCCTTGTAGACGCGGCTTCCTTTCCTCACTCCCAAACCCAAATTGTAGCAAGGGGTGAAGGCAGCATTTTTGATCATGTTTTTTCCTCTGCCGTTTCCTGTGTAGTTTACTGTTATGATAGTCAGGAAGTCTCAAGAGATTCAACTTGAGAGACACTCACCAGGCAACATCCAACCTCTGTTTTGAAGCAACTACTGCAAAAGAAAACTAAAGGCTGACGAGGTAGAGATGTCACGTCAGCAGGGACCTCATAGAGGAGCACCCCTACTCTCCCGTGGGAGAGTTCCACACACCTGCTCTAGGAGAAAGAAAAAATCCTGGGGTAGGGCACAGGACCACATGTGGACATATGCGTTTCACATTGTGTCAAGGCTTTTCTATCCCAGGACTAGCTATATAGTTCAGTGGAGGGGCATTTGCTTAGTGTGCCTGCGGTTCTGGGTCTGATCCCTGGCATTGAAAAATAAAACAAGAATTTCTCATTGAACCTCTCTGGGAGTTAGAGAGACTGTGGAAGTGGACAAGTCAGTGGAGAAGCTCTGGCCTGCTGGGTGTCCTCTAGAACAATCCTAGCTAGTAACCCTGGTGTGGATGCCTAATTGGATGCTTCCAAGCTGGGTGAGAACCTAGCTAAGGAATCTACCTTCTTCAGGGAAATGTGGTCTTCAGACCACAGTTAGTATCAATTTTATGTAAATATATAACTGCTTAAAGATAAGACTTGATTACATTTTATAGTTAAAACATTTTTTTTTAAATCCAGACTCACATTTGTATCTTTAAATTCGGAGGAAAAATCATAATCCATTATTAGAACACATGTCTCCTAACTCGGCCCATATGCCTGTTACTAAGACATGGTCCCCCACTGGCAGGCTCTGTACCTAAGGGAGGAAGAACACACATCTGCAGTGCAGAGCTCACAGCATTCCTGGCCTGGATCTCAACCAGCTGTCCACATCCACAATGACGTCTTCATTGAGGGAGCCATTGTTTGCTGGATGGTCTCTATCTAGCCCATAGGTAGGTTTGGTCATGTACAGAGCTTCCCATTTCCCGGGGTGATGAGTCAGGGAGATGGGGGCTCCCTTGCTCTAACACACTTTTGTCTAAAGGTTCTATGGTCGGTGTCAGCGTCTGCTATTCCAGTCTGTCTTCCAATTGTACTTCTTATTACCCCCCCCTTTATTTTTTTGATTCTCTATCTCACCCTACTCAATATGGTATGCTTCACCTCACTGCTTTAGATGTCTAGATCTACTGTTTATTGGTCTTTCTTGGGGACAAAAATACTCCTTTCCTGTTTCCATACCTGATATTGCTACTGCCTGTTGTTCCTTAAAAAAAAAAAGACACATAAATGATTTGGACACTTTTATATGATGATGTTATAGTTGATGATGATGGCAGAAGAAGACATACCAACCCCAAATATGCCACATCAGCATATTATTTGGGCTTAAGGTACTTGAAAATCAGCAAGTGCAAGAAGGGCATGCTGACCTTCCATCCTCTTCTGATGACATGGAGAGGAATGAAACATGCCCTCTGACACTAGAATTACCTTTTGCTAGGTGTGGGGACAAATGCCTTTAATCTCAGTGCTTGGGAGGCAGAAGTAGGAAGATCTCTGTGCATTTGAGGTTAGCCTGGTCTACATAGTGAGTTCCAGGATAGCCAGAGCTACATAGTGAGACCTTAACACAAAAAGAAAGAAAGAAAGAAAGAAAGAAAGAAAGAAAGAAAGAAAGAAAGAAAGAAAGAAAGAAAGAAAGAAAGAAAGAAGGAAGGAAGGAAAGCAAGAAGGAAAGAGAGAAAGAAGGAAAGAGAGAAAGGAAGGAAGGAAGCAGGAAAGAAAAAAGAAAGAAAGAAAAGAAGGAAGGAAGGAAGAAAGGAAGGAAGAAAATATCTTTACCATCAGAAGTCAACCTGTGAAGACAAATTTGGTTAAACTAACCCTCAGCAGTTCTTCCATAATTGATACTCCTTTAAAACTAGTGTGTAAATACATGCAGTCACTTCTTTGGGTCTCTCTATTTCTTGGGAGGGTTCCAAACTACAATATAAACAAAATTTGCATATTTTTCTCTTGACATGTCAGTCCTGAGGTAGAACCTCCCCCTCCCCACCCCCAATCAAGGAGGTAGCATTTTCCTCCTCTGTGTGTATCACTATAAAGTGGCTATTGTTTTTTAGTGGTACGCATATTTGGCTGGAGGACAGAAACAGAATGTAAGAACTCAACAATGAGCAGCCAGATTTTTGCCTTCACTCTGAGAAACGGAAGTGGCATAAAGGATACTATAGGATATGTTGAAACTGTAGTTACCAGCAGGTAAACCGTCAACAAAATTGTGCACACGATTGAGTCGGCGGTACAGTTTTTTGAAAGTGGGAAAGGCAGCTGTCCGCATCCATACAATGAGGTCCTCATTGATGAAGCCATTGTTTCCTGGGTCATCTGTATCTAGTTCATAGATAGGTTTGGCCCAATGCGGAGGCTTTGCACTTCCTGTGGGAGTGGGGGATGAAGAATATGGTAGAGAAAAGTCAGCTCTCCCTTTAGTTTTCCTTAGAGAAAGAACTGCGTTCACAACAAAGGAGAAACTTGACTTTAAAAAAAGAATGTGTGTGTAAGTTTAATATGCAATCCTTAATTATATTGGTTTAAAACATTCTAAGAAAGAGTGTATGATAATTTTGTAGGGTTAATAAGAGATATCAGAGATACCGCAGCTAGCTCCTGCGGTAAGGGTAAGTGCTGTCAAGACTGAAGACCCGAGTTCAATCCCTGGAACCCACACAGTGGGAGATGAGAACCAGCTCTCAAAAGCTGTGGCACATGCACCACAGCATACTCATTCCCTGTCGCTCTACCCACCTACTCTCACCTCAGGATCATAGAAATACATTCTAAAAAACAAGAACAGGAAGAGAAAGTGGGGAGAAGTAGTCAGCACTGGAATCACAGGCTTGTGTGAAGTCAGGAGACCAGACTCGGACTTTGCCCCAACTCTCACGCTTTGATTTTCTGCTGACAGCATTGCTATCCCCACTCTACAAAGAACCCTTGAAAACAGACTCGCCCTCATCTGTTCCCTATCGTTTATTCTACACCTGGAATGCAACAGGTATTCAGTTATCAATCAATGCTTGATGAAGGGATCAAAGAGTCTTATTCAACCTGCCAAAAGTTGATAGAATCCATGTTGAATTTCAGAGAGCTAATTAACAACAGTAAATTGTGTGAGGGACTTTTTACTACTGTATGGCTAGTCCTTCTACTGATGGGGACTCAAAAGATAAATAAGAAGCCTCTTGGATGGGTATGGTGTCACATCCTTTTAATCCCAGCACTGAGAGGTAGAGACAGGTGACTCTGTGAGTTCTCAGTCAGTCAAGGGTATACGGTGAGACCTTGTCTCAAAGACAACAACAACAACAACAAATCCCATAACCAGAACACCATTCTTCTCCAACTGGGACGATTTGCTTCTAATAGAGCCCCCAGGTACAGGCTAAGGTACTTACCAAAGCTATACTAAGTCTGGTATGATTAGTCGACTGGAGTAGATTATACCATACATGTTCCTCTGGAAATAATCCTGTGCTGGAGAATCCTCCTCTGCAAATATCATAGAACCTGTCTATTTTGGCCTTTCCCAAGACATCAGTCATTGATTCTAATTAAAAAAACGTGTTTGGGGCCTACATTGTAGAACCCAGCTACTTACTAGTTTATCTTGTAACCATGACCCAAGGCAATGTATGCCAGGGACAACTGGGGCCAGAACACTGCTTGTAGAAATGCAGGTTTTAAGACCTCCCTATCACCTTCCAATCCCACCACTTCCCATATATCTGGATAGTATCAGCTGCACACATGGTCTGGTCTGAAACATCAGCTTTCTTCATTTTCCAAGTTAATTTGGGTCATTTGTTTTCATTCATTCATTCATTCATTCATTCATTCATTTAATACCATTTCTTGTTTGTTTACTTTGTATCAAAGGTCAAGGATAAAAAACTGTGTAAGATCTTTGAAGGAACTCACAGACTGCTACACAGACTATAATATGATAACACTTTGAGGCAGGAACACGGGATGGCAAAGGATAAGAGAAACTTAAGGACTCTACAGTACAGGCCTACAGATACTGTGGTAAGACAAAGCAATAAAATGTTGTCAAGTTCCTTGAAAAACTAGTGATTGATTGTAAATGCAGGGACTAGGCAGCACAGGGCATCCCCAGTTGATGTCTGCTGCCCATGAGTCCATGCGCTTTGGTATTTATTGCAAACAGTCTGTATACATGTAACTTCACTCTTTGGAGACTTTTTCAGTCAAACTACAATGGAAGGTATCTCTAAGGCCCTGCCAGCTGCTCAACATTCCAGCTAGCAGGCATGCAGTTTCTGACTTTACTGGTTAGATGTGTGAAGCTGCCAGGCTGTAACTCAGGGGGTGGTGTTTCGGGGTTGGAATTTAGGCAACAACAGGTCTAGTTGTGTGTTCATGATGCCTCTGTAGGAAATGGATGCTGAGCAGTCCAGCTGAGAAGCGTGTACACTCTCGATGGCCACTTTATGATATGGTCTGAACAGATCACTAGGTATGATTAGGTATCAGATTTTTATTTTATAATAAATCCTTTTAGCTGTGAAGAGCTAAAAACTGGAATGCATGTTTAATGTAAAATTAAGTGTATTTTCTTAAAGTTGCTGAAAACGACTCAGTTTGGTTGACATCATCCCACCACAGCAACCACAATGATGTTAATGACCATGTGAAAAAAAAAAAAAGTAAATCAGAAGAACATATGAACTTATTTCAAAAATTTGTGATTAAAGACTGTATCCAGACAATGGTTTAACTCCTACAGAAAGTCCATTTATATATCTTTCTGGGAGCATGGCTTCATTAAGATTAAATGGACCTGGGCGTGGTGGCATAAACCTTCACACCCAGTGCTCAGTAGGCAGGGTCAGGAACATCTCCGTGAGGCCAAGGCCTGCCACAGTGAGACTATAAGACCCTGATTCCAGAAAATAAGAAATAAATGGATTTATTTTTATTTTCATTTTGTTGTTGTGGTTGTTTATATAGTTTTTTTGATACAAAGTCCTTTCCCACATTCCTGAGTGCTGGGATGGGCAGTGTACCTAGCCTACCTAGTTTCAGTGTGTGTGTGTGTGTGTGTGTGTGTGTGTGTGTGTGTGAACGGGTACCTGTGTCCACGCTCATAATAAACACTGGGTGTCAGTCAATGTGCATAGCTTTTTGAGATAGGGTCTCTCCTAAACCTAGGGTATGCCAATTGGTTAAACTGGCTGGCTAGGAGCTCTGGGGACCTACCTGTTTCTCCAGTTCCCTGCCCCAGGACTAGGGTCACAAGTGTGCATTGCCACAATCAGCCTTTTATGCAGATACCAGGGACCCTCACGCTGCAGCAAGCACTTTAAACTACTGAGCTCTCTCTCTCTCTAGCCCCTAGGTTTTTACTTAAATTTTTTCATAGCCAAAGAAAAGGTCTTAATGTGTTAACTTCATTAGCACTAAAGAACGGTGAACAGTTAAATGAAGCTAGTTTTATGTGAATGTCTTCAGACGGGAAAATTCAAGCAGTAATAAACCCTTGGGTTTAATTCCTCATAGAATCAAAGCAAAGCTTTTAGAAAGTCAATCATGAAGATAAAAATCTGGCATTTATTATAGATGTTACTATAAACTCACTTAAGAACTCCAACAATCAAGTTTAAATTGTTTGCTTTTGTAGTAATAAAAGAAGTGCAAATTTGGTGGAGCAGTACCCCAGAGTGAAGCTAATTCCCTGAGCAAGTAGAGAAAGCAACAGAGAGGAAATGCCCTTAAACTGGTGTGGCACACGCCTAAATCACAGTAGTGCCCATTAATGCTACAACACATTACTTGTCAAGAGTTTCAGCCGGGCAGGGTGGCGCACGCCTTTAATCCCAGCACTTGGGAGGCAGAGGCAGGCGGATCTCTGTGAGTTCAAGGCTAGCCTGGGCTACCAAGTGAGTTCCAGGAAAGGTGCAAAGCTACACAGAGAAACCCTGTCTCGAAAAAAAAAACAACAACAACAAAAAAGTTTCAGCTGCACAAAGAAGTATTTTTTCTAAATTGACAAAAAAATTGCAAAACACTCAGAGTGACATGTGTGACAGGCAGATACGTATTGGAGAGAATTTTTGGAATGCCTCAAACTTTAAGGAAGGCTTTTGCCTATCAGCAACTCATGTCGTGGTCTACAGTGATCCCCAACTTTTCTGTTCTTTAATGAGCCCTTTAACTTAGGGTTCCATTTTGTGCAAGACACTTGAAAACTTTTTTAAATATGCAACATAGGTAATGTCAGAAATGTTAGGTTGTGAAGACTTTGTAAGTAATGCTTATTCAAAATAAGCTTCCAAACAAAGAAATGTTAAAATTTACTCAGGTGACAGTAAAGGAATCACTGAACATATTACATAATGATAGTTCAAAATAAGATTCAATTTTTGAATTTCATAATTATGCCTCAGATTATTTTGACTTTTATAAAGACTATTGGTAGCACTCTTACTTTTGGTTAAAAAAAAATTCTGTGCCAGAATAAAGTGATATTGAGAAAGTCCAGGATTTATACTGTGGCATCTAAACTTCATGATACATTCAAAAAACCCAAAATAGAAAAAACTGTGGAGTAAAAAATGCCTATGAAAATATTTGGATTAAAATGCTAGCATATTTCACTACAGTGAAATAAAAGTTCACATTCTCCTCTGCACTGGCTGGTTTTGTGTGCTAACTCCCCACAAACTAGTCAGAGAGGAAGGAGTCTCAGCTGAGGAAATGCCTCCATGAGATGCAGCTGTCAGGCATTTTCTCGTGTAGTGACCAATGAGGGAGGGTGCAGCCCATCGTAGGTGGTGCTATCCCTGAGCTGTTAGTTCTGGGTTCCAGGGCAGTCAGGGCTACACAGAGAAATCCTGTCTCAAAACTCACTCAAAAATGTGTCCAGTTTCATGATAAATTGTAGCTTAAACATGAGTTTCCTAAAACATTTACACAAAACACAGAACCAATTATTTCATATAAATCATGGAGGTGCCCAGGATGGGGAAAGATAGGGCAACAGGAATCAAAGAAATAAAAAAAGAAGACTTGTGGGATCTTCTACACACACACACACACACACACACACACACACACACACACTTATAAAAATAGGGAACCAGGCACACACCTTTAATCTCAGCACTCTGGAGGCAGAGGCGGGCAGATTTCTGAGTTCTGCAGTAGCCTGGTATACACAGTGAGTTCAGAACAGTCAGGACTATGTAGAGAGACCCTGTCTCCAAAAACAGGGGTGGGGGGAGCTCTATTGAGTAACTGTCTGGATCTTACCTGCAAATGCACTAGCAAGATCACCGGCTCTTGGATTCCGGAATTTGACATACTTATCTGTCCACCATGTAAGCCCACTCTTTAGCATTGGGACTTCTATATTTATAGATGCATTAAGGTTGTATGAAAGAGTTATGGTATCTGAAAGGAAATTTAAAATTATAGTAGAGATGTTAGATAGCCATTTTGCCACCTTTCAAAATGCAGACCCAGACCCAGATGAAAAACAAACTAGTTTTTTTTTTTTTTTTTGCAGACACTCAACACGCCTACATGCCATAGATGCTTAACCATGAGATCATTTTTTCTTTAACCAACATTGAGCCAATTATTGAAAAATATTCTTTGGCTCCATTTAATTGTGTTCTCTGACTGTTCTTCAGATTGCTGGCAAGGGAGAAGTTATTTACAAATGAAACACCAGACATCAGTGTTCGGGCTTATTCTGGATAAAATACTTGGCGTTAAACGAGCAAATCAAACCAGCCACTCAGCTGCCCGGGGAACATCCTGGATGTGGAGGTGGTTACACACTTATGAAACAGATAGGAAAAAAGTCACCTACCGTTGAATATGCTGTTGGCAATTGCACCACAAGGAATGATGGGAGTGCCGTTGTGGGACAACTGGAATGGAGAACAGTTCTTAACATCCTGTGTGCAAGACGATGTATCAATGAGAAGGGCTTTTGGCAAACTCTCAGACTATTGAAAGAGAGAACACTGGCAATGTGCATCAACCCTTATTAGTGTGTTGGCATGGGCAAGGATTATGGACTGCTACCTGTTTTCCTCAGGGTTTCTGGCTCACTTACACTAGAATATGTTCAGTCTTTGGAGATATATGTGCATACGGATGTCTAGGTATTTTATTTCCTTTTTAATAACACAGCATGCCAAAACTATTTGCAGGAAAATTTTTTACCTTGTTATGCTTAGTATCACATTAAGTCTACATGGGAACACTTCTAAAAATCTTTTTGGGAAAGTGTACCATATTCAGAAGAGTATTCGGGCCAGAATCCATAGCTAGATGACTTCATAGGGAACTGCTTGCTAAACATGTTTAGGTATCACTCCCATAGACTGTCAGGATGGAATAACAATCCAGCTAGCTTCTCTCGTTAACATATAGGAATTATTGAGGATAGTCATACAATCCTAGGTTACACCTAGGCTTTTATACCCCGTTAAACCAAAGGCTTTTATTAAAGCAAATTTCCTTTAAGTAGGATGGATCAAAGACCTCAGTTATAAAAAGGCGAACATGGTTAGCAAGTGAATCAAGCAGACACCAAGGTCTCTCAGAACACAGGATAGCTACTTCGATGGCTAGCACCCACACTAACTGCTTTAAAGGGGGCCAGTGCTCGCTCCTGATAATATTTATCTAAAATGCTCAGCTCCTTCACTTTAAGAATGAAGTGAACATTTCTATCTTCAAAAACCTAGATTCTGAGCCCTGCCCAACTCCGGTCTTTTAGAATGAAGAAACCCCCTGGCTTAAACAGAAGAGAACGTTACACCAATGGGACTGAGCCTTACCCAAATATCCTTCCCCACCAGTTGACTGTTGCTTCTCGATAAAATATATCGATAGAGGTTCTGATAGAAACCATACAATTTGTAGAACATGTAAACATCACCCTGCATAGAAGAGAAATAAGAAGCAAATAAGATAAATTGACTGGGATATTAATAAACATTGACACCTTCTAAAAAAACAAACAAACAGGAAACAGTATACAAAAATGTCGATGGGAACTGAAAGTTTCTTTTTAGAAACTAGAAACTCAAAAATAAAAAAAAAAAATGTTTGGAGACAGGGTCTCACTGTGTAGTCCTGGTTGACATAGGACCAGGCCAGCCTTGAACTTAGGAGATCTGCCTGCCTCTACCTCTGGAGTGCTGGGATTAAAGATGTGTGCCATCACCATTCCCAGCTTTAGGCTGTGTATTTTCAATGCATAAATGCAGAGTTATGGATTTTGTCTCTTTGTGGCGATACCAGGAAAATACTTGGCATACCATGTTCTAAACTTTTAAAATAACTATTTACAAGATTGCAATATCTAGATATTTTTCTTGACGGAACACGTTTTTCTTTTTGGGGTTCCCCAATCAATCTGAAACAGCTGGAACATCAGCAGCACTGGTATAAGCTTTCCTGGCAGCCTCTTCGGTGTGGCAGCTTCTGGTACAACGTCATTACTTTTATTAGCTTCAGAGTGGAGAGACAGGGACTGAAGCAGCTGAAGTGGTTTGAGTAATTAATATCCAACAACATTCCAGTGATTTTTCCAGTAAGAGTGGGGTGCGTGACTTGATTAAGAGGAGACTGCTGTTCATCCAATATTTGCCGGTGCTCTTGAGTGGGACAGCAGTCAAAAGCTAATGACCTTGTATGGGAAGAACAGGCCATGTATTAAGATGTGCTGGAGACTATGCAGTATATTTATACTATGGCATAGTGAGACAGCAGAATAGCCACAGCAGCCACTGCTGTAGGTTAGGGACCTCTTGTCTGTGGTGCTGTCTCATTGTACCAACTGGTAGTCTAGGAGCAGTTGGGTGGATGGTAGTACTGGGTATATTTTGGGATGGATGAGGGCTGGCATGCTGAGGGTTTCAGTGAGGACTTGGTTTTAGATGAACAACCTTGCTAGGATAGGATGATTGTTTGGAGTTTGATTCTGAGTTTGTGGGGTAGTTGCCATGGGATGACCTGAAGGAGGTGCTGACTGGCAAAACTGACTGTGGGTTTGTGTGTGTTGCTCAGTGGGATGGACCCAGGGCTTGTCTTTGCACTAAGCTGAAGCTGCACACAGCCATTTGGTGGTTACCGTTCTATCTCTCATTTCAGAAGCTGTTTTAATGCTTCATTGGGGGAGGACAAACATACCACACCAAACATTTTGCGTGTTACATTGATGTAAGCACTGAGAGCCATGAATACAGTTTCAAATCCAGGGGATGTAACTTAGAACTGGAGTCACTAAGCATGTGAAGGTGAATATGCAGGCTGGGCACATGGGAGGCAGGAGACTAGAAACTCCCTGTGCTCAGGCTCTGGTGAAGTATGTCATTAACTTAGCAGCAAGGTCTGTGCTTTCCCTAAGAGCACAGATGGGTGGGAACTGATACTAGGTTTTCTCTTTGGGATTTTTCTTCCTTCAAAAATTTAAATATTCTGAGCCTTCAAGAAGGAAAGGAGGAGAGGGGAGTTCAGGAAGTATGGATAGAGTCGAGGGCTAGAAGAAGGTCAAGAATGAGAGCAAGGAAGGTCGCAGGCTGCAGTATTTCTTCAAACCATTCAGCAAGCTGACAGGAAGGCTTGTGCGATGATGCCTCACAGGACACTTCTCTTCTGGGGAAAGCCTACTGCTGCGGGATGTTTTGTATGGCAAAGCCTACCTTAGTTACTTCTGTGATCAGCCAGTGGCTCATAAGATCCCCTGGAAGCCTGGCCCTTGGGCACAGAGCTAGGACCACACCTCAGCTACACTTCCCGCATGGAGCGCTGAGAAGAGATTTTTTTTTTATGCCTCCATGGTTTTATCTAGCAGTCAAGACTCAAATGAAAAAATGATTTTTTTTCTACTTCTCAAAGATATTTCAAATGTCCATCCTGTGCTCTGCATTCTACATCCTTTCCTTGCAGTGTCCCCCCCCCCCCCCCCCCCCACAGACCTGGTTCCCTCCTTTCCTTCAGAATGTCACTATACATAGGAATCCAGGTCCAGGCTAGTTTTCTCTCTGTCTCTCCAATGAGCACCCACCTTAGGGCTTACAGCTCATTTAGCTGTCCCAAACCCAAGTCGTTATCATCTCCTGAAAAATCCATTCGCTTCTCCCTTCCCTTCCGCTTCCCTAAAGATCAGGGTGGACAGCTCTCCTTGCCTCCTCCTGTTCTGGGAAGTTTCTTCACGGAATCTCCCCAGAACCTGTATTCACAGAGAGAGTTTAATCAGCCCAACAACAGGGGTTTCTCTTTGTATTTCTTGGCATTCCTCACAGTGCCAGTGAACCATGCTGAGAGCCTCTTTCGGATCCAGCAAATGCACTGGTAAGATGACTTGGGGTAGGAGAATCCATGGAGAAATCCACCAGGTAAAACTCTTGACACTAACTTAACGTGTGACCTTAGCCAAGTCATGTAACTTCTCAGTCCATTAACGGTTTCACTTAACACGAGGTGCTAAATGTAGTAAGTTCTATAGCCCTGTCCACACACATATTTATAATAGAACCTGTGTGATTGATCATACAAATCATGTTGGAAAATTAAGAATCTTGAGGTTGGGGTGGGGGTGGGCTTTTTGGAGACAGGTAGAAACCTGATGCAAGGGAAACTCCCACAAACCTACAAGGGTGACCCCAGCTAAGATGCCTAGCAATAGTGAACTGAACTGGCCATCTCCTGTGATGAGATTGGTGACTACCCCAGTTGTCATCAGAGAGCCCTCATCCAGTAACTGATGGAAACAGACACAGAGACCCACAGCCAAACATTAGGATGAGCTTGGGGAATCCTGCTGGAGAGAGGGAGGAAGGATCATAGGAGCCAGAGGGGTCAAGGTCATCACAAGAAAACCCACAGAATCAACTAACCTGGCTCATAAGAATTCACAGAATCTGAACCAACAACCAGGGAGCCTGCATGGGACTGACCTGTCTACACATATGTGACAGTTGTATAGCTTGGTCTATTGGTGGAACTCATAACAATGAGAGCAGGTTCTGTCCCTAATGCTTTGGCTAGCTCTTGGGAACCTATTCCTCACACTGCGTTGCCTTGCCTAGTCTAAACACAAGGGGAGGTGCTTGGTCTTATGGCAACTTGATATGCCATGCTTTGTTGGTATCTATAGCCCCCCCTTTTGAATAGAAACAGGAAGAGTGGATGGGGGGGTGGTACGGAGAGGGAATGGGAAGAAAGGAGAGAGGGGAAACTGTGGTCAGGATGTAAAATAAATAAATTAAAAATGGAATCTTGAGGCTTCGAAACAGAAAAAAAAGCAATAATATAACAGCACAAAAGGCATTCTGAGGTTGTAGGGTCATGGACTCAAGACTCATCATTTCTACCTTGCTTTATTTCTTATATTTTTCAGTTTTTGGAAAGCATTTTATGGAAAGTGCAAAAACAGAATGCGGAAGTATGCGGAGGCCCACCAGCGTGGAGTGAATCGGCTCACCTCCATTTTCTCTGGAAGGTAAAAGGGAACAGAGCAAGTGCACTCTTTGTCCGAGTTCGAGCTGTCTTCCCGTAGCTGAGCACAGTCTCCACATATATTCGTGTAATTAATCTGTCAGGCACGGAAACACAGTAATTCATTTAGAGGTTAGATAAGCCCACATCTGAAAATTCCATATCCCAGCCTATCCAAAGTCTTCAATTTTTTGGAGATGGAGCCCGTGGCATGGCTAGAGGACAGCCTGCAGTGTGGGTGTTCTTTTCTGGGGTGCTTGGGAGGAGGCCTTCTTACAAGTCTTCCACTGGGGCGCCAGGAGGCATTTTGCCACTGGCTGGGAGCTCCATATCTCTGTTGCACACTTCTGTGATTGGTTGGGAGGAAGCCACTTTCCCTCAGTCCTGAGTAGGGGCTGCTAGGAAGGCATTAGCCGGTGATTCACGAAAACCGTGCTTCCAGCCCGAGCCTAATCACCTTTACAGGAAACTCACTCTCTAGTTTCCATTTTTTTTCTATGGAAAATATTCGGATTAATTACCTCACACGTCATCTGGAGGAAGTTACTCAAAGTGACAAAGCAGGAAAACAGTATTTCCAAAGGAGATTATTGATGTATGTGCAATAATTCTCAGCTTGAGAAAGTGGTGTGTTCTGCTTTTTGAAAGTTAAATTCTGTGGAAAAATTATATAATGAACTCTTTTTAAAAAAAGAGTCGTGTCCCAAGTGAGTGACGCCTGTGTGCTCTGGCAAGGCACTCTGCACTCAGTTCTGGAAGGATGAAGCTGGAAGACAGTGGGAGGCAAGGTTCAGAGACGGGGTAGGGGCTTGGGGGACCAGGAACTGCATGCTTCCCAATCCTGTGGGCGGCTTCTGCTTCCCTGTCTATGATGAAGAGCAATCAGAGGATTCTGGGCAAGTGGTAGCTCAGAGAAGCAGGAAGTGGCTTTTTCTCTGATAAGGTGCCAGTAGGATGTAGGATTCTTTTGGAGAGAAGACTGACAGGAAAAAAGGAATACTGAGTCTTTGTGAAGTCCCTTAGAGTTAAAACAGAAAAGCGAAGGGGAATATTAAAGTGCTACCAATGCTCTAAGTCACCGTTCTCCACACCCATGGCGTGTGGAGAATTACTCTGAGAAAACTATTCCATTTCTGGTTGTGGAACCATACTTCAACTTATAAAGAGCGTTGAAGAACAGGACAGTATGCCAGTCAAGAGCAAGCACAGACAGCAAGCACACTGACCCACACCAAGGGAACTGGGGCTCCAGTGTGGCCAAAGTCCTCTTTTGACGGGAGGATTATATTTGACCTCTAGGATTCTAAATTTTGATCATCAGCATATTTGATAGAACAGTTTATCTACCAGAGATGTCATACTGGAATGCACTTTATTTTATAGATTCCATTCCTCGGTGTAGAAACATAGAATTAGAAGAAATGTTTCATGACCACACAGTTTTTGATTAGATGGTATCTCTGATGCTTTCTACCTTTAAGAATTTTAGTGAGAAACACATATCCCCAATATACTAGGTACACAATGACAGTATTTTGCAATTCAGTGTTCAGCTGAACTTGTAAACCTTTAGATTAAAAACAGAGCAAAGACTGTAGTTTGCTATTCATAGAATTTGAGAGGCAGGTGTCATTCATACTTAAAGTGACATGTAGAGAGTGATTCCTCTCATTGGCTATATAGCTAAAGACAATGCAATTTAGCACATTAAAAAGATACCCATATTCCCACAATTGTTTGCAGTTCTATTCATAATATTATGGAATTGATCTCAATATAATTGTCCAGCGACAGATGAATACAGACAATGTAGTATATCATATCTATAATGGAACATTATTAGGTCATAAAGATAAAACCTTGTCATTTGCAGCAAAATGAACAGCTATGGAGGCTATTAGAACAACTGATATTGCATGCTGTCATTCATACATGGAAGCTTAAACAGGAGCTCAGAAAGGGAGGGCAGTGGGAGGAGGGATGGAAGCTGACTGAAGTGACCCAAACACAGACAGAATAATCCTTGTGCTCCACAGGACAGTAGTGTATCTATGGCTCGTAGTAACTTTCTGTATATTTCATAGCTATCCAGAAGAGAGGAGCGAGAATCTAATCCTAAAGAAAGCAAGGAGAGGAAAATGGCAATTGCCTTGGTTTGCTCAGTGTGCATTTGTAAACATGTACTAAAACAACTCACTGTGCCCAGGAAACTATTACAACCATGACACATTAACTACACAAGAACAACATTTAAAAGCTCATATGGATTACTGGGGTCTGGCGGGCTTTTGAACTTGACCCTCCCCTTCTGCCTCTGTTTGTTGCTCACTTCTCCAAGACCACCTGACTTGGGCAGGCTTTTGTATGTAAATATGGCTGTAGGTGATCAGTGTGACAGCAAGAATGAATGACATCAACACAAAGGGCTCTTTCTCCATCTGCATCCCTGCCAGCCCAAAGTTAGGCGGATCCAGTCATACCTAGTTTCCCATTGAGAGGCTATGTTCTTAAAGTGACTGCTCCCATTTATAGTCCCAAACTGAGCAACTTTGGAAATTAAAAGCGTAAACCACGACAAACCTCGATTTCCTTGGTGCTCTTTGCAGACAGTAGAAGGATGATGCCCATACAGAGGCAGAATCCTCCTGTGGCAAAAAAGATAGAGAGGACCACCGAGGCAGATAAATCTAGCTGGTGGGCAGGCAACGTTTGCTGCTTCAGGGCTGTGTTTTCTGGCATTCTGGACAGGTCATACTGGGGCATCATCTCCATTTTGGTCCTGTAGGTGACTCACATACTTTAGGGATATTTAGAACATTCATACTTGTAGTCCTATCACATAATGCTAATGCTACATGAAGAATGACATGAAGTTGTAAAGTTCTGTCTTGTTCTCTAGGCAGACCTGCTACCTGCAGTAAGCAGAGCTCTCTCTAGTCACTGCTGGGTGCCCTTGATTTCAGTTCAGTAAGCCTGTTGTGTTAAATGCCAGGCCTAAGAGAGTTCGCCTCAGCATTAAAAACCAACTGCTCACACTCAGAAGCAGTTGTTATGGGAAGGTTCTGAGGTTTGTTGGCTAAGTCAAGGCAAAAGCTTCCTAAGTTTATCTTTATGAACTTGTGTAAATCTTTGGTGATTAATACAATTGAAGTTAGGGCTATCAGCTTTCCCCCCAATATGGCTATTGCCTAACACAAATATGAACTAAGTTGGGAAAATGCTCTGAGACCACAGCTAACTCTGCCTTTGTGAGGGAGAAAGGAGAAACAAACAGGAATTTGCAGACTATAGTTGCATGCATTTAACGTCACTAGCTTTCTTTCTTTCTTTCATACATAAGAAAGATCCAGACAGAAAATGTAGATGCCAACATTTCCTCTTGGGGCTGGAGAGATGGCTCAATGGTTAAAAGCACTGGCTGCCCTTCCTGAGGACCCAAGCTCGATTCCCAGCACCCATAGGGCACTTCACAAGTGTCTTTAATTCCAGACCCAAGGGATCCAATACCCTCTTCTGGCCTCCTCAGGCATTGCATGCACTTGGTGCACAGACAAAATACTCCTGCACATGATTTCAGGCAATATACTCATACATATAAAATAAAAATAAAAACCTTGAAAGAAAAAGGCTCCCCTTAGCCTCTCTCAAATCTACTCTTTAGAGGTTAGTGAAGCATCATCGGATGTTCAGCCTTGCAATATGATATTAGTTCTGGTTTGAGGGTTTTCTCCCTTGGCCGTTAACAATTTATAAATATTCCTTTACACAGACTTTGAATTTTATAAAGTCGGCAGAGAAGCCATGGTGTGTCAATGACAAATGGACCTGATTTAAAAGAATATCAAGTAAATGCGAATATATACAGTAGGAGGTTTCCAATTCAGAATCAGTCTTTATACTTGCAAAACAGACAAACAAAAAGAAAATCACCCATGGGAGATTTCAGCATGCCATTTGAATCTGCAAGTGGTCACTAGACAGGCTGCTGCTGTCACCCACCAGACAGCGTGTGTGAGATGTCAGAGGACACAGTTAGCATCCGCTAGTTGTTTTGCTAAATGAACATGGCTAAGTGCTTGGCTTTAAAGAGCAGCCACAGACTACAAGATTAGATTTATCTGTATAAAACTGTCCCACAAGACACCAGGTACGTTTGTGACTTAAGGTCCTGCTCCAATGTTGGAGCAGATAATGCTCAGCGAAAGCGTTTATTTCTGTAACAGAGCATTAAGAACAGTATTTCTTAGCCTTCTAATAAAACAAGATGACAAACTTAAAAAAGCTTCACGGGTAGTTGTTAATCGTGCCTCTCCAGAAAATCAAATCCATAGACACGTAAGTATATATTATAAAGAACTGTCTCACACAATTTTAGAGGCCAAGTCCAAAATCTGCAGAGTCCAGTCAGTGTCCCAGTTGAGTTCTGAAGACCAACAGACTGGCATAACCTCAGGAAGAGTCAGTTTTTCAGTTAGAATTCTGTTAGTTGGGGGTGGGGGAACTCAGCCTTCAGTTCTGGGCAGGTCTTAAATGGGGGGGGCGGTGAATCCCACTCACATAATGGACGGCAATCTGATTCAATTAAGTCTGATGATTTAAATGTACTCTTACCATAGACAACCTCACAGAATAATGCCTCACTATCTGGCACCATGTGGTTCAGCCAAGTAGACATATTAAAACCTGTCATCATAGGCAGGAAGTACAGACATTTCTAGGACAATGTTCTTGAGATAACCAGGTACACATTATGTACCCACCTATTTATATTCACTCTCTTTTCTAAATTTTTGATCTTTTTCATTAATTTTTTCTTACAAACATATTTTGATCATATTCTTTCCTTTCCAACTCCTCCCCACCACCCTACCTATTCAACCTCATATTCCTTCTCAAAAAAATGGAAAATAAAAATCTAATAAGAAAGAAAATACCCAAACAAAACAAAATGAAAAGAAAACCCCCATAAAAACAATAACCACAAAACAAAACAAAACAAATCTCCCAAACTCCAGACTCTGTTTTCTATTGGCCAACTATTCCTGTCCTGGCCTGGGGTATGGTTGGTATACTCCTGAACATTCCGTAGTGTATTTCCTTTCCCAGCAGGTATCGACTACAAATAGCTTCTTGGTTAGGGTGGGATTTTGTGTTCACTGCCCTTCTCAGTGCTGGGATCATGTCTGGTTTGAACTTGCTCAGGTCTTGTGCATGCTGTCACAGGCTCTGTGAATTTGTGTGTTTCACTCCTGTTGTGTTTAGAAGACAATGTTTCCTCAGAGTCATCCATCACCTTGGCTCTTATAATCTTTGCCTCCTCTTCCACATACGTAGATCCCTGAGCCTTGAGAGGAGGGGTTTGATGACATCTCACTTAGGACTGAGTGCTCTGAAGACTCACGCTCTGCACATTGTCCAGCTGTGGGTCTTTGTGTTAATTATCATCTATTGCAAGAAGAATCTTCTCTGCTGAGGATCCAGTGAGGCACTTATCTATGGGCATAGCATTGTGTTATTAGGGGTGATTTTATTGCCATGCTCCTTTAGCAGAATAATAGTAGTAGGTTTTTCCTAGGGCTCATGACCTACCCCAGTCTCAGGTTGTTTTTCCTAGGGCCCATGATCTACCTTAGGTTCTTGGCCAGTTCAGCAGTTTTGAGTATGGTTTCCATCTCATGGAGTGGGCCTAAATCCGGTTCTAGATAACACAACTTACACTTGCAAATACATTTCATTTGCTTTGCTTATTAATAATCAACGTTCCTCAACACTTTTGACAAGTAGATATGTTGTGTGGCATGGAATATTTAGCTGCATCCCTGAATTCAACCAGCTTAGTGTCATTCACATTCCCACTGGATGCCAGTCGTAGCCTCCTGCTCCAGTACTCAGCTAAACATAATTTTAGGCATTGCAAATGTACCCTAAAGCTGGGCAGTGGTGGTGTGTTGTGGGATATTATTTTAAGGTGTGTTACTTTTGTTTATGTTGTATTTGTTTAACTCTGTGAACCCGTGTTACTGGGCCTGTATAAAACACTTGATTGGTCTAATAAAGAACTGAACGGCCAATAGCAAGGCAGGAGAAAGGATGGGTGGTGCTTGCAGGCAGAGAGTATATATAGAGGGAGAAATGTGGGAGGAGAGAGCGAGGATCCAGAGAAGATCTCTGGATCTCCAGGGACCAGCCACCCAGCTACACAACTAGCAACGAAGTAAGAGTAAGATTTACAGAGTAAGAGAACAGGAAAAGCCCAGAGCCAAAACGTTGTTGGGATAATTTAAGTTAAGGAAAGCTGACTAGAAAGTAAGCCAAGCTAAGGCTGGGCATTCATAAGTAAGAATAAGCCTCCGTGTGTGAATTATTTGGGAGCTGAGTGGTGGGCCCCCCAAACAAATGAGTAAAATACCAAGAACAACAGTGGCACATGCCTTTTATTGCAGCATTTGAGAGGCAGAGGTAGGAGGATCTCTGAGTTTGAGGCCAGCCTGGTCAACATAGGAGTTCCAAGCTAGTCGTGCTAGTGAGATCCTGTCTTGAGGAGAGAGAGAGGAAAAAAAAAAAGCAAATGCACCCTAAGAGGGGAAGTTGCCTAAGAACCACTGTTCTGGACTGACACCCATTGGCTAGTAGCTTGTTGTGTGGTGGTATCATTAAAAAATTTGGGGAGGGATTTTCTTAAATCATAGTCTTTATTTTTCCTTAATCACGGTGTAACCTGGTATGTACACTCTCTATGTACACTCACTGGAGACAGGGAACCAATGACAGAAAAAGTAATGATTCCAATGCAGTGTACTTAACTGAGCTTCCTTGCAGGGGGTGGGGGGTACGGACCCCCAAACAGCCACATGGCTTTAATCTCATCCCAGCATGGGTAACTCTGTCATCACGGCTTAGGTGGGGTCTATTCTTCAGGGAATGGTCTACCTATATACTAAAACCTACACTGTATGTTTTAATAACTCCTAAAACCACATGCAGTTGGGGCAGAACTACATAGGGATGGGAGCAGGGTGCAGAAAGGAGTGGCTGGAATCTAACGACTCTCCCAACTATCTATTCTATGCAGGAATGTCAACAGCAGTCATATCAGTTGTTCTGGTTTAGACAGTGATGGCAGCTAATGTTTGGAGGACAGCCCGTCACAATACCTTTTAGGCAGTATCACACACTTTACAAATTTGGACTGCCTTACATCTAATAGTCTTTCCCTATTACCTGCAGGGATGCAGATATGGTAAATATGTGTAGAGTCAGGACGTGGTTATGTGTGCAGGGTGGACACTCCCAATATTCCCAATGGTCTCAGGGTTATGGGCAACTTGGTGGATTGTTCTGAATTTTGCCAGGCTTAGACTGCCATGTCTTCATAGGAGCTTATGCCTGGTGTATGTTTTTCTAGATTGTCTAAGATGACACACAGTTACATGCCTGGATTAGGAAGCTATGATGCGATCCATTTTATTTATCATTGGATAGGGAAATCGCACTTGTTAGGGTTCAAAGGATGAAAATAACAGGGTTTGGCTTGACCCTAACATTTCACTTCCCTAGCGGCTCTCCTCTCTCTTCGTAGGGCTCCAATCAGGATCTCTGAAGGTGAAGTGCAGTCCTGTCTCCTTTGCTCACTTGTGTGGCAGCTCTGAGGCCTGAGGAGGTGCACAAGCAGTGCTCACTGGAATGTAGCAGTGTGTGGGTTTGCTGGGCTGTGATTTGCCACCCTGTGAGCTAGAATAACTTCAATGTGAAACTTCATCAGTGACGGCATCCATTTCCTTTATTATCTGATGGCTGTACGCTCGAGTTTCCAAAAAGACAGCTTGATTTCTCGAATGGAATCTGAGTCCTGGGCCTGACTTCCCTTTCTATTATTAGTTCTTTGTGAGACTCAGTTTATTGACTATAAAACATGAACAAGAACTGGACATAGTGTTGCATGGTTCAATTCCAGCACTTGGGAAGCAGAGGCTGGCAGATCTGAGATTTTAGGCCAGCCTGGTCAACACAGTGAGTGCCAAGATAGCCAAGGGAAACATGAGAGCTTGTCTCAACATAACAAAAAATGAATTAAAAGTGTGACTAATACTGTTAGGAATGTTTCAGTGGCGAAGCAGACTATATATGGAGTTGTACATATGGTGCTTGGAACAGAGCAGATAATTATATGAGTAACAACATGGAGTTTGATCAGTAGCCAGGTATGGTGGTACATGCCTTTAAACCCAGCACTAAGGAGGGAGAAGCAGGTGGATCTCTGAGTTGGGGGCTAGTCTGGTCTACAGAGTAGCCAGGACTATGTAGGGAAATCCTGTCTTGAAACAAAACAAATGAAAAAGGAATTTGAGTAATAAAATAAAAACAGTAATATATTATAACCCACAGAATAAAATATTCATGTGTCCTCGTTGGTGTAAGAAATAACTGAATGAGGAAATCAAGAAAAAGGCAAGTTTTTCACAGGGATTCCAATAAAGATCAAAAGAATGAAAGGAACAGAAAAGATACTGCAGTAATAATCTGTGGCTGCTAAAAATGACTGGGTGGCTTGAAGAAAAAGATATTTACATGTCTTTAAAGTATCTCCTCCAACACAGATACGGACTACAATGGGAAAAATGGTACAGCCTTCTGCCATGGAGGAAAGTGGCAGATGGCACCTTTACCGGATGTTCAAGGCCAGTATCATGGGAACTAAGACGCAGTAACATTCTGCATGCCCTGATAGGACACGGTGAGACGGACATGCTACCACTATGGCTCTGACCGAAAGCCACAGAACTTGATGTTATGATACAGACAATCAGAGTTTGGGACGGTTTACAAAAGGACGGACCAGCACTCATCCTGTGAGGTCAGGAGGGAAGGGAAGCACAAGGCACTGTCGCCGTAAGGAAGACTACTCAGTGCAGCAGGATCCTCCACGGGGTCCTCAGCTGGGACGAGGCCATCAGAGGAGAAACTTGTGCCGTCAGAATGACATGCACAGCTGTTTAACTGCACCGTGCTGGTGTTGGCTTACCGTCAGTTTGGGCACCCGTGCACTGGGTCTATTAGATGGTAACACGGGGAGAACCTGGGGAGGGGGACATGGGAATTATCTACACTACTTTTGCAAAAATTGTGCATGTTGGAAATTGTTTCAATTTAAAAAGTCGAATCAAGTAAGTGGACAAGGGTGCCGTATTTATTATCTGCCCGTACCAGGCACACTTGCTCTTTCTAGTTCTGTGGGCCACACTGTGTGCCGAGACCATGCTTCACCGAGGGAATAGAGGCGTCTGACGGCACCTGACAGGCAGAGATATGAAGAGACCATAAATAACATGACACTGTGCTTCCCGCTGCCCTTCAAGCTATGACAAAGACCCAGCAGGCACCTGTCTCCCCATGGTGGGATCCCTCCCAGCTAACCTGCCCTTCAAGCTATGACAAAGACCCAGCAGGCATCTGTCTCCCCATGGTGGGATCCCTCCCAGCTGACCTGCCTGACAAGGGCTGTGAGCTGATAACTCACTTTTCTCTGTCTAAGCTGACCAATCAGAAATGAGGGAAGCAGGGCTCATCCCAGGCCACCAAAAGCACTTACAACCCTGAGCCCTCTTCCGGCTGGGGGTAGGGAGGGAGTGGATTTTGGTTTCCAGATCCCCTAACCACTTGAGGGAAGTCTACTTTTGAGCTACAGCCCCAGCCGTCATGCTTAGTTTACCAACTTGCTCCCCGGGCATCATCTCACGGTCTCTGACAGTTTTGTGAGGTAGCATTCCCATTTTGGAGCCTCGAAGACAGACTGAAGCTCAGAGAGGGAGGTGGCTCCGGTTCTCAGCTGCTACTTCCTGTCTCCTGCGTAGTCAAAGCAGGGGAGAAGAAAAACCCAGTCTGCTCAACAAAGACAACACACACGAGGCAGAGCTTCTTTATTGTGTGAGGGCATGAGTCGGAGGACAGCTGTCCAAGAATCCCCAGGACGCATTCTCAGTGAGCCACTGGGTGACGGATGCAGTTTACATCATTACATCACGGTAGGTAGTTACTGAGCACTTGCGGGATGTTGGCAACTGGACATTTCACCAGGACCCAGGCTTAGAAAAGGCCCAGTTTCAAGGACTCCGACTTGCATAGGCTAAATACTCCCATATCTAGAAGCTCAAAAACCTCTTTTCTTATCTAAATGAGAGAAAAAAAAAACAATAGAAAGGTTACGATCGCACGAAAGTAGTCCTAGTGAACAAAGTCTACATGTGGGGTCCCAGGTGTTCATACAGCTGTTATGCTCAGAATCAGAGAGGGCAAAGTCCACACCTGGGGCTCCAGATGTTCATACAGCTGCCATGGCCAGAATCAGAGAGGGCAAAGCCCACACCTGGGGCTCCAGATGTTCATACAGCTGCCATGGCCAGAATCAGAGAGGGCTAGGTCCACATCTGGGGCCCCAGATGTTCATACAGCTGTTATGGCCAGAATGAGAGTGGGCAAAAGTCCTGTGCATGTTGATTCAGAGTTGAGAGATAAGTAAAGGAAGAGTACTATGTAAAACATCAGTGCTATTAAAGGGCCTTTACGTTTGCATCCATCCAAAAGAAAATGCCATAGCAATGTTCAAGGACTCCAAAGTGCTTTTTGTAACCCAGATTTTCATTCAAGGATCCAATAAAGGATTGACTGCCTTGTGATCATTGTAAATGGCATGAACAAAAGTTGTGTAGCTTGGTCTGTTTGGGGGGCCCCTGGCAGCAGGATCAGGATCTGTACCTGGTGCATGAGCTGGCTTTTTGGAGCCCACTACCTATGGTGGACGCCTTGCACAGCCTTGGTACAGGGGGAGGAGCTTGGGCCTGCCTCAACTGAATGTACCAGGCTCTGCTGACTCCCCACTGGAGGCCTTACCCTTTTGGTGGAGGGGATTGGGAGGGGAGACTTGGGGGCGGGGAATGGGAGGAGGGATGAGAGGGGGATCTGTGGTTGATATGTAAAATGAATAAAAACATTTTTTAAAATAAAAAAGTGTAAAAACTGATGATAAATTTCTGACACTGTTATAGTGGATTACTCACATTTAACATTATAATAGAAACTATAAAACCTGGCCTTGTGTCTGACATATAACTAGTTAAAAAAAGGCTATTCATGGAGGCACAGCGTACCCCATTGTGTGTATGTGTGTGTGCCAATGGTTTTTAAACTTGATGCTTAATACAACTCGTCAATCAATTATAATGAACTTTGTTCAGTCTAGGGAAGTAGTTTTATGTGGTAAATTAACTCATAGCACGTTTTAGAGACATAATCCAAGCCTCTTTGATAGTGACTGGCATGATTTATCCTGAGAGGTGATTGACAGCCTTATTTATTATTACATAACTCCCTCCCCACACATATCAGATTAGATTGAAAAATCGTTCCATGATAACATGGTGGGTGGCAAAATAAAATTTCTATATTATGAGGGCAATGAGCTATTTTTCATAAATATACAGTGAGCTGTGCGGTGCCCACAAAGGCATTCAGTCATTCAGTTTGAATCCACTGAGACACAGAAACCCTCCACACAAAATGAAAACATCTTTGTAAATTATGTAAGTAGGTTTTGTGGGGATCTGAAGAAGCCAACCAGGAGGCAGCCTCTCTTCCCCCGATTTGGCCAAAAATGTACATGTAAGAATAAACGGCAAAGACGGCCGTCTGTGAGGAGAGAGAGGCACAGGAAAAAGGCAAATCCTCCAGATCATCGAGCTTCTTTGAAGTACAGATGTCCTAGTGGGGTAGGGCCATGGATTTGGTGGGCAACCAAACGGATTGTATACTACACATGGAAAGGATACAGTTATGTGTAAGCGGATGAGATGGTTCTATAATGGTTACCTCAGTGTTGAAGACAGAAATTATTTCCAAAGCCAGAATGTGCTGGCTCCCCATGCCAAAGACTTTATTACTGTGTTTGAACTTAAGTTCAAATTGGAAAAAAAAAAAGATTAAAGACAACAGCTGATTACACAGTACCTCGGGAATGTCCATCATTCTCCTTAGCTTCTGATCTCTCCAGTTCCAGTCGAAAACCAGAAACTTTAAGGGGTTCAAATTAAGGCCATCTGAAAGACACAGCGAGAGTCGTGGTAGGAAAGACCTCACGACGTAAGCCTATTAAAATGGTTTTCATCCTCCTGGTTGCCTCACTCTCCGGCCTCTCCCCCAGCAATGAACCTCTGCACACTGACGCTCGCTTGATGGGAAACACACGCAGCACTCTGACACATGCAGCTGTAGCGCTGCTTCTGAGGACAGAGAAGCCACCCTGCTTAAGTCTGTCAATACTCAGGTGTTCAGCCCTCCAGGTGTGAAAGCCAGAGGCTGGGGTCTCCTTCCTGACAGGGATTTGAGAAGCCGTCTCCTGTAGCCAGGGCAAGTGGGCCTTCAGAGGAGTTGAGAGCACCAGAGTCTGCATGAGTCTGCGGAGGTGGGGGGAAGGATGCTACCCAATGATGAGGCTGGCAAATCATGTTAGGATTACACCCACTCTGCTGCTTGGTTTACCTCGAATTATTCACGTGAAGACTGGATGAGACCCAGGACTGTTGGTCCTCAGGTCCTGAAAGGCGGGCACAAATCCGGCTCCTGCAGTTGTTTCAAAGTCTTGCACGCCATGCTTGGAAATAGCATCTGAAGCTTCCCCACATGCAGCTGTCCCCAGAGCCTCTCCCTCTGCAGCACTTCCCTCTCTGCCCCAGGTAATTATAATACCTTGATCAACACTCACTGGAACGGTGCTAGCAAACCCGGAAAAGGTAACAAGTTGATAGTCCCCCTTTAAAGGAGACTCAGCTGTCGAGTGGAACCACCTTTACCCAGAGCTATCAAACACGCACTGACAAAACAGCTTTCGTTCTGTGATGTCCCAGTTAAGAAAACTACCAGAAGCTTAAAGGCACTCCAACAATGATCACTGTGTTATGCATAATTTTAAAAAACTGGATAAAATCCAAGTATTCTATACTGAAAGTATTGCAGACGGACAATGTAATACATAGATATTACAAATGAGAAGTAAATCAATTTTCTGAGAAGGAAAATCCTCTTAAGGTATAAATATACATATTACAAATGAGGTGTATATATTATATCTATAATATAAAGTCTCTATGTAGACATATAAAACAAATACACTGTAACCATGTGGAATGTTATATGATCTCTGCTTCATAAAAATACATACTTGTGTATAAAAAGACAGAAAGGCAGTATACCCATTATAATTAACTAGAAATTATCTCTAAAGTAACTTATTTTTTATCCTCATCTTAAGTTAAGAAACTTAATTTAGTGTGTGCATGTGTGTATGTGTGCATGCCTGCATGCCAAGGTGAGAGTATGGAGGTCAGGGGACAACTTTGAGGAGTCAGCCCTCCCTCCCACCCCCTGTGTTCCAGGAACCAAAGTCAAGACCTCAGGCTTGGTGGCAAGCACCCTTACCCACTTCGCCATCTCACCTGCCCCTTCTCTATGTTCCTGCATTTCTCACAGGCCCCGAGTCAGAACATTTCCTTAATTGCTAAATTAAAACACCACCATTCTGAAGATTGTTTTACAGACCCCAGTGTCATGGGATGTCTTTCATGTCTGGACACTCTCCTTACATACTGAAAATATAAGCATTGTGTTGAGAATATAAAATGTGCTTATATGTGTTAAGAACATATAAGCAGTTATGTGACTGTTCTAGCTTTGACAGAACCTCAGTTCCCAGAGTGCTGGGGCTATCTTTATAAACACCTTCCATGCATCCTAACACTGTGGCTAATATGTTTTAAACTATCCAATCAGATTCAGAAGTAAAAGCTTTCATTAATATCACATAAAAAAAATCAACAGCCCAACATTATTTTTCCATATAGAACAGGCCATCAAATAGAGTTTTCCCAACTGTAGAAATCTACTCAACAGCTTGGACCGCTTCTTTCTGTCTCCCTCCCTCCCTTCCTCTCTGCTTCTATTTGAAACCTAAAAAGGGCCCTATTCTTAGGTGGTGGGGGGAATCGGGTAACATAGAAAAAAGTCCGGGGTCCCAGAAGGGGCGAGCTGAATCTTGAGCTGAGTGTTGTTGGGGAGTCACGGACCAACCCGAGAATCTCTCCCTGGCCTCTCCCAGTCCCCATACAATCTCCTCAAAGCTGCATCTCTTAGAAGGAGCAGACTTGGTACCTAACACCTGCTTCCTAATTCCAATGCCTTCCTATGTCCATAAAACAAACACCCTGGTATCAAGAAACCCCTGGGGTGGGGTGGGGGGGGAGGGTCTGGAATGAAGAAGCCCTGGCCTGAGACCATGGGTGGAGTCACCCACCTCTTTTGAGGCTCTGTTTTCTCTTATAAAAATTAAGAGTCCTAGCCAGCCAAGGATGCTGTGGGTACCAGTTAGAAAGTACACAAAAGGATGTCCAGCATAACACCAGTTACAAGTAGAAATTCAAAAAATGTTTCTATCAGGGACCTTCAGTGTCTTAATTCTTTGCCATTTGTACAGACCTCCGCAGTCAGTGGGTTTAATTAGCTGTAGGTTATTGTCACCTGGAGAAGAATGCCAGGCATTTTAGATGTTGTTTCCTGAGTTACAATATTGCTGAAGATGTTACTTTGGCATACACAAAATAATTCAGGACTGGAGCCAGACAGAAGACAAAGTCACATTACTGGATTAAGCAATTTGAAAATGAAGAACGAAATCAATAAATCTGAACCAGCCTTTGGGCTCAGGTCTGTGACTTCACCTGCTCTGGGGGCTTAAGGAAGACC